TCTCTATTGGATTTAAATGTAAGATTGCAATAAATAATTTCATGATGGCAGAGCCACATCAAATATCAATGAGCATCCTACACTCTAGTGAAAAAGAAAAGGTATTTTTTTTTCAAACAATTGAATAATTGGAATTTAACTTGTAATATTTTTAAATATCTAAATTAAATAATTCAAATAATTTGCAAATTGAAATTGAAATTACCTAAAAATAGACAATTAATTATCCAAGAAGCAAAATGATTTATTAAGAACCTTTATGTAATCAAAGATCCTTTTAAAGATTCGTATATGGTTTAAACTTTGATTTTCTTTACCAAACGTTATTAACATTAACCAAGTAGAAGAGAAAATTTCAATGGCTTTCAAATATACTGAAGTTACAATTGAAAAATATATTATATGGTGATAATGTTTCAATGTTCTCAATAACTACAGGTTCCTGATGTCAAAAAGTAAAGTTTATTGATCAGCAAAGTTCATAAAAAATAACCTTACCCAGGAAAATTTGTGTGATAAAAAATTTTCTACTTGGTCAATAATTTGGAAAATAGACACAAAATTGGCAATGAACATTTTTAACAACATTGTTAATAAATAAATAAATAAATAAATAAATAAATAAATAAATAATAAATAAATAAATAAAATAAATAAATTTTTTAGAATGAAAAATATTATTTTAGTTATTCGTGACATGCAATTGTTCCCAAGCTTTAATTAGAATATCTACTTTAGATGGCTCTCTGACAGCAACTCTAACAAAAGTAGGTCGATTATAACCAGGTCGCCCACTTCTCACAGGTACACCAGACAATTTGGCTTTATTAACTGCACTTTCGGCAATTTCAATTGTTCGCATATCAATCCAAACCCATGACAAAAATTCCTTTCCATAGAATTTCCATGAAACATCATCAACATCAGGATTATTTTGTTTATTGTTGTTGTTATTAATAGATTTTTTTTTTACTGTTTCCACTAAAGAATTGGACACTTTTTTTAATTTTTCTATTAATTCCAAACGCCATTTTGGTGTAAGTTCCCATGTATTTTTCATATATGTTTGATCCTTTACTACATTGTCTAGGAATGCAAGTGCTGGTGTATTGACACTCCATGGTACTTGTATTCTTTTGAGATCATCACAATGTTTTGATGTAGGACACACTACTGATCCCAATCTTAATCCTGTACATGACCAAAATTTAGTCCATGAATGTATAATATAAACAGATACTTTATTGGTTTCATAAAATTTTAAAAGAAATTCATGTTGTGAAGTAAGAGAATCTGGTCGAAAATTTTCTGATAACCAAGGTTGCATTGATTCATCTATTTTGCAAATGTATATATGTTTTAAGTAATATTATGTATCAATTTTTATAATTTTTTTTACTAATAATAATAATTAAAGCATTACCAACCGACAATAACTACACCACCATCCTCGACATTTTCTTTAATCCATTGTTTCAATTCTTCAACATTTTTATAATCGCCTGTAGGATTACATGGATTTACAATACATGTAAGTGTAGCAGGTTTAACCTCATTAGATCCAAGAATTATACGTCCATTGGTTTCTGCTGATCTTTGATATTCTTTATACTATGAAATATAATTATAGTTCATAAGCACATTTACACACATATGCATGCATATTTATATATTATAACATACATACTTGAACATCCCAGGGACCAGGTTTCCAAGTACCTTTAGGTGCAAGTCTTACAACTAAATCAATTAATTCACTTGCACCATTCCCAAGTAATAATCTATCATGATGTGTTTGATAATCATCAGGCCAAAGAAATTTTGCGAGTGAAGTTTTTGCAGGCTCTTGATTAGCAGGTGGATAATGATGACATGTATCAACCTAATAAGAAATAAAGAAAGTAAAGAAAGGCGGAAAATTGAAAAAATGAAAATGAAAATGAAAATGAAAATGATGGAAATTACATATTTAAATATTTATATATGTAACCTACTGAATCTTTTGATGCTTTCAAAGCTTCTTTTGGTGTACCTAACGCATTAGTAGTAACTGAAAAATCTTCTACAAAATTATCTAAAAATTTCCAATCTTGCCCACCATGGAATTGTTGTGACTTAGTATCCCACACATTAGTGTCCAAAACCATTATTTTTTTAAAAAATTATTTTTTCAAAAATAAAAGATCTTTTTTTTTGAATTCGGGTTGACACTGATTATGATTGGTTGTTTGCCACAATTAATTATAATCACTAAAAAGATTTCGTGAAACTTTTTAAAATAGTTGGGTTTATTTAAAAGTTCAATATTATTATGATGCACTTATTTCCTAACTTTTATATCGTTGAGAATTTGAGTTTAATTATTAATTAATGGTAATATATAGTAGATGGAGTAGTATATGTAGAAGCAGTGCTGGTGGTGGAAGTAATAGTAAAATTGTTAGATAGTGAGTGAATCATTTATATCTGGTAAAGGTTTTGATAGCAAAGAATAAAAAAACTTGTATTTTTTAATTATTATTACAATTAGGATTAGGAATCTAAGTCATATAACAACTACCACCAACTTCTATTTTTTTGATGCAACTTCTGACAACCTTCTCAATTTTCTTGATTTATTAATTCAACATACTTGAGAAGTACATTCCTTTACTTAAGGATGCAAACATATGAACACCTGAGGTTATGGCACTATTTGGCATATGTAATATGGCATTATGCAAGTGCCATATGCAATATGATCACCAAGTGAGGTTACAGTCAAACCTTGTTACAACACACATAATACAATCAGTTATGTTTTTCCTAGAATCAGCTCAAAGAAATCTTGGACAGAGAGAATTGTTGAAAAGTGTATGTTCAGTAAATCTAACAAGAGAAGGACATTACTTCAGTTTTGATGAAGCACTTGAATATTATGGTGTCAAATTCACAAAACAAAATATTACTGGAGATCCTACAAATCTTGATAACCTTATGCTACAAATTCAGTCAGTCCAAACAGAGCATGAGCATTTGGAGCCACTTGTCTTGGAATTTG